TGTAAAGCGCTTTGGGGTCCTTAGGGACTAGAAAAGCGCTATATAAATACAGGCCATTTACCATTTTACCATATTGCACCAAATCAAAACAACAGTTGCCTGAAGGCGTTCTACACATCTCTATAGTATCTATAGTAGGGAGGGATCCCCAACAATCAGGCAACTCCCCTTATAAGGGGAGAGGAAGGAATAACTGCCTTTTGACAGGAAGAAACCTCTGGCAGAACCAGGGTCAGGGAGGAGCAGCCATAGCATCCATGAGAACAAAGCTGTGTGACAGTGAAGATTTGTAAGTAAACAGTTACTCACCGATGGGCAGCCTTTGCACTCAGATTTGACCTTCTCAGCCGCAATACCAACAGCTGCCAGTTTGGCATCTATTGACTTGACAACTGCAGCAGCATCTTTCCCGGCAGCCTCCAGTGGTCCTGCCTCTGTACCAACCAATTTCAGGCTTTGCCTAGGATAGAAGGAAGTACAATTTGAAGTGTGCAGTTATAAAACACGGAATCTCAGATGAATTCCCAGTCAGGGTACCTACCTGGACAAGACTTTAGCTGCAACAGACCTGCGAGCATTAACAGCCAGGGAGTGCGTTTCTTCAGCCTCAGCTGAGCGGATGAAACCATTTTCAAGTGTGAACACTGTAACAGAACTGGACTTCCTACTCACACCCAGGACCTGGAGGGGGCAGGATTCAGAAATATTTCAGAAATCAGCTTGCAAAAGTTAGTGTTTAGTATGGTTAGAGTTGGAGTTGTTCTGGATGTTGACTGACCTTACTGTGAGTGGTAAATCCAGCCTCTTCTGTCTTACATGTCTCTAGATTCTTGGTTCTTGTTACTTGACCTTTTACTGCCTTGTACTCAACAGTACACCTCCCAGACACATCATTCTGTTTAAACAGACAGCTTGTTTTTATTAGTAACGTACATGGATGTATGTTAAAAATGATTGTGAAATGATGATTGGTTTGTCACTAACCTCTACAACCTTCCCAGTACTGAGCTGCACTTGCAGCAAGCTGGCCAGGCCTCGTTTTAGATTCTTGACTGTTGCAGGTTCTGACCGGTAGGAATAAAATGCTTTTGCCTACAGTGTAGATGTAAAAAGAAAGCAACATGTCAGAGCAGAATTTTATGCTCTCAAACAATGCATATCAAACTGCACCAGCAGTTAAAATAGCAACTGAGGCAAACAACCTTCCGTTTTGTGCATGCTGTAACTGACAATGGCTTTACAGGTGTCAGTTTTCCTTTGCGCACTCGTGTACAGAAACATGTGTGCATAGTTGTGACATCAGGGACTATTTGCATTACGTGCAGGCATTAGCGCTGTTCTTTGAAGTGCAGATAAAAAATGTTAAAAACTTAGAATGACTTTAGCATTAGCACATAAAATAAGAGACCTGAAGGAGAAATAGTATAATCCAATGTTATAATATATTTTCAAATCATTCTAGTTTAAAATATATAAGACCTCACACTTCTACTTTCAACACAAACAAACACACTAGAAGTCTGGAAGTTACTTAAGTAACTTAAGTACTTAAGAGTTGAGTATGTTGAAACAATTGAAAAAGAAACATGTCAGTTCTTTGAGGAGCACACTGAGAGATCCAGGGTGTTTTTAAATCACCTCAAATGTATTATTGATGTTGTAGACACATGCAACACATGGCAAATGGTGCTCTCAGATATATTGTGAATCATGCGGCTGTATCACTCTCAGGCTTTTTGGTAAACAGACTTGAAATGATTTAGATCACTGACCATATATTTAAATTTATCACACCACAAATTTCTCCAATGAGGCTTCAGTTTGGCTCAATAATGGACTTTGACTCTCAGTCATGAGTTTAGGGATCAGCCAGTTACATCACCCTACAGTGTCTCCTTTACAGTATGTAATTTATTCGTGGCCCCCAACCACAATATCAGATAGGACCACCATAAATAGACGCTCCACTGCTACTCTGTGTATTTTTCCTGCCACAGCTTGCCATCGGTAAAAATAAACTAACAACACCAAGGGAGACACTCTTCTATCGTGTTTCACATAAACTCAAAACTTTTGTGAGACTTTCTTGAATCCTGTTACAGAAGTTACAGATCAGTACAAGACACAAATTTAAATAGGTTTGGATGAAGTGTGGCATCCATATCTACCAGTGAAGGCGATGTCTGAAACCAGTCTGAACAACACACAAAAAACTCTTCACTGACTGCACCACACACTGGGTGTGAGAAATAACTGCATCACTTTTTTCCTTCAAAAAGGTTTTAATGTGTTAATAGTGTAATTTTTTTCAAGATTAAAAATGTAAAAATACTAGAATTTAAAAAATAAATTATTACAAATGTGTTAAAATATATGAAAAGTTAAAAGAATTGTTAAAAATTATTATCAGCAAAAAGCCCAAAAATAAATATGAACATATTTTTAAAAATTTAAATTTAATATGTAAAAGTTAAAAATGTTAATAAAAAAAAAGAAAAAAAAAGATATAAAACATATTGAAAAGAGCAAATATAATTATGCCAGATAGTTACATTAAAAAAAAAAAAAAAACTTTTGTTTTGTTTTCTCTGCAAATTTTATATTTTTCATTGTCTCAGTTTTCACATATTAAAAATGTGTTAAAAACAAATCAAAATTCAAAACATTTGAAAAATAGAAAAAAAAACAACCCACAAAAATCATTTTTTTATTATATTATCGTCTAGCTTTTCTATCTAGTCAGGATTTTCTAGATGAGCAGTTTTTATATATTTTGTATAATTTATTTCAATGACATTTATTTAACTTTCAACCCTTTTTTTGCAGGTTGTGCTCTCTTCATAGAACACACTGCTTCAAACAAGTTATTGCAGGTCTTTGTATTATACTGTATTGCATTGCAATGTATACATTTTTAATACATTGTTAAATGTGACAATTATTGAATGAAAACTGGTTACAAAGACTTATTAGATTTGTTTTAACAAGCTGCCAACATGAAAGTTCAGTCTCATCACGCTTCATGCTCGTCTAAAGTATAAAGCTTTGAAACCGACCATATAATAATTATTATATTTAATTATTAAATAATTATTAAATAATTATTAAAGTTTTAAGCCCAAAGTCCCTCATTTAGTCAGACTCCATCATTCATTCATTCACTTATTGACCCTTTGAACCAGCTGACCTTTGCACATGCATGCACACATCTGTCTGGTATTTCCGCTGCCAGCATCATCACTTCAGTATAATGAAAGTACACTCATTAACTCTCTGATGACAGCAACAGTGCTGTGAGTTCTGCAAGGACAGTACTGACTTTCTATCACTACCTATATCAGCATGCCTTCCATTTAAAAGAGAAGAAGAAAATAATGATTGTCATTCCGAAAATGCTGACAATTACATTAGGTCAGAGATTCCTTTGAAGGTACAACAGTGGTTTTCTTACCTTTCCATTTTTTAGATGCACCAAGAAAGGCTTTGTTAGAGCTGCTAGTTTATTTTTTCCCAAAATACTTTCGGTTGTGGATCCATGTAGGATGTTCTTTTTCTCTGATCTGGGCGACACAGGCTCTATCCTCAAATTTGAGATCTGTTAAAGAGAGATTGATTAATTATAACAAAAAGCTTCTTTTCTTCTTGTTCTATCACAAGCTAGCTTGAGTAAAACGTTTCATTCAAATGAATTTGGAGTTAACATTAAATTAATGTACGATATAATCTCATTATGTCCTCTCAGCATAGATTCGGGTCCACATACCGCCAGTTGAATCAGCTGGTCGTCCTTGTTGCTCTGATCTCTCCAAACCAGATTAACGTTCACATCACTTGAGATCTTGTAGCCAGCACTGCCCTCTTTTGACCCCCTGGCTCTGTCTACCAGAACCTCAGTGGTGTAGCTGAATTTGTACAGCTGGTTGTTGTTCAACCGGGGTCCAGCAGCAGCACCTGAAGAAACACAGGAAGCACAGCTTGTGAACAAACATCGGGTTACGATTATCTGTGAAAAGACTTTTAGCTCAGACAATGCATCATTATTACGATTATGATTACTATTATTATCATGAGAGTGAAATAGTAATCCACCACTTCAAAAAGCAAGTGTTTGTCATTTTTAAGAGAATAATGTTGTGTGTAGTTAAATCATTGAGGCTCCAAATTCTTACATTTGAGGAATAGTTGCTGATAAGCTGATAGTGTTTCTCAGAAAATCACATCAATAACACAACAGCTCAGGTTTGTAGAAAGTCTAAGACATAATTTGGTCATTTATTTCATTTGAAAAGTTTCTGCTTAGTAGAAAACTTTAAATGCCATCAAATAAATAGCTCTTAGACTGATTATTAAAACACTTAAAGTGATGTGCAGATTTGAAAGTTTAGAGCTTTTAATTTAACTTCAGAGCAATGCTGAGATGAACTGAGGTGCTGCATACACTGCCAGTTATATCAAAGTAACTTGTTCATATTAAAAACATATATTTTGCAACAAATTCCCTGATATAAATGGACAAACTGCATAGTGGGTACGTTTGTAGAGCTGTTGTGATTCAATCAGCGGTCATTTAACTGGGTGTGCTCCAAGTGAGAGAAGATAAAACTCTCTCCCGGGCTCTATTAGTGACACCCTTTATGAGATTACTCCACAGGGGAAGACAGACTGACGTGTCAGTATTTGATTTCATCATGGGTCACTGTGCACCCTGAAGCCTATTTGATCAGTTTGTGGATCTTTTTGCTCCCTGGGAAACCTCAAAGGATATTTCAGAGAGATCTGAAGCCAGTCATCATTACAAATGGCACATATTACGTGCTTTTATGTTAGGTCTCCTTTACCTCTTATAAGCTGGTGATTTCATCAAATAGCACTATATGGGAAGCCACTCTACTGACATTGAATGTGGTGGTTGTTTTCCTGCCAGCATTCATTCATTTGTGCCTTTGAAAGTTTCAGTGTCTCAGAAGCAAGAAGCAAGGAACAACAAGCCCATCAGTAACTAACAAACATTTCTTTTCTGTAAACGCCTCAAGAAAACAGCAAAGTGCCAGAGTTTTGACCAATACCTACAAATCAAGATATCAATCTTCTAGTCCCAAATAAACTCAATCAGGCTTCGCTATAACTGACAGCTTTCCTCTAAACATCCCCAAAGTCCCCTCAGAAAGACTCATCAACTCACCTTTGGCAGAAGCTGAGACAGATATGGCTGCACAAATCAAGAACACAACAAAAGTCAGCATTGTGCGTCCTCTCTCTGCGGCCAGATGAATTTAAAAATCAGTCAATGAATGGATGAAGTGGCACCACAGGGCCAAAAAAAAGGAAAGGCAAAGCAGCTCCAAGCTTCTTCTGCTTTGTTTTATCGGAGCGGAGGGCAGACTCCAAACTCCACGCTCAAGTACTAAGTACGAGATAACCAGCAAATCATTAACTTCAGCAGCACAGGTTTGACAGGAACATCTGCTATCCACAGATGCAGCCATGTGTCCCCTTTTTAATGCGGCGGTGTAGCGTCTGAGTCTGCGCGAGGGCTTAATCAATGAGACCGGGTTATCTGATTGACTCAAGTCATCAAGTAAGTGAGACAAGCCGTCTGATTTATTTCAGCTCCCCAGGTTATTCCCCTCGACTGATCAGCAGAGTAAAGTTACTTTAAAAATAAAAGTGCGAAAATATCAGAATGAATGAGTTTAAGAGAGAGAAACAACTTTCGCCTTATTTCATCTGCAGTGAACAGTCGAGACTTTGTCGTCGAGTCTTGGTTTGGAGGAAATGGGCAGTCTGTCGGAGAAACCAGCCCCGTAGCTCAGATTACAGCATCTCAGTGTAGGCTGTAAAAACGCAAAATTCTACCGTGGGCCCGAATATTTAGTGTGTGGGTTATTACCGCGATATATAAAACTGTAGATGTGTAGTTTCCCTCGTGCAGATGCATTAATTCCTGCAAAACTCAGTCTGTTTAATGAAAGCCGCTGTTGATTAAGGACCTACCAATTGGAATGGCTCCTGTAGGCCAGACTGTGTTTCAACTGAGATCCGTTTAGATATTTACTGTTTATTTGGCTGTTTGTTTCTTAGCAGAGCCTGAACACACACAAAAAAAACATATTGGTTGAATTAAAAAAAAAAAAGTTTCTAGTCATGTATGAAAACACACCTGCCACTTGGTGACTGTAAAGGGGTTGTCCCAGCCCTGTAGCTAGGCAGATGTGTGGTTGTGGAGAGATAATGTAAGTATGGAAAATGTCCTTGTAGAAAATCATGCTGTGAAACAAGCCATGCCATTGTTTTAACATTTACCACGTGGCTCCATTGGTAGTGGTTTACACATCTGCTCACAAGTCAAAGATTCCAGGTTTAATTCTGGAGACACACATCAGCAGGAGCTGGGTGCACAGTGACCCATATTTATTTTATTCATAAAAAATAAAATAAAATCATGCAGAGCTACCTGCTGTGGTGACCTCTTGTGAATAAGGGAGCAGCTGGAAGTAGCCTTACTGAGATGAGCCCAAAAATGTATTTTTTTAACCAGTAATAATAAAATATCTCATGGCTATTTTCAAGTAAACAAGTGAATCCTGATGCATCAACGCTGGATGCAGCAGTTCCAGTGTAGCAGTGGGGATGATGGTGATGATGATCAGTATGATGTATGATTTCTATAAAATTAGATTTAAAAACGACCTCTTTTTTTCATAATTTACTGATAACAAACTCCAACAACTGGAAAGTAAATACTGTGAACTATAGTCAGCAGCCAAAAAAGCTGTTAGGCTTTTCTGGTGGACTCAACATCTGTCACAGATTATCTGCAGATAAGAGAGAAGGATGTGTGTTATGGCCTGTGGCATACTGACTAAAAGTAACAGTACAAACACAGGTACAGAACAAAAAAATGAGTTTGGATACCTTAGATAAAGCAGAAAAATTACAATAACAAGACCAAATATGGTGGCTCTTTGAGACACAGATTTTACTAATGTCTTAATATATCTTAATATTGCATACATATTCATTGTTAAAATTTAAACCTACATATTATTTAAATGTATTGGCTTGTTTTCCAAGTGAAAAAAAAAAGATGTCTTGCCATAAGAACCCACCTATTTTCTTCAACTTATCCAGTTCAGTGTTATGGGGATGGTTATCCCAGCAGTTACAGGGCAAGAGAAAGGGAAAAACCTTGTACTGGTCACCAGTCTACTGACAGACCCTTCATGCTAATATTCACACCTCTGAATTTTGACTTGCCAGTTAACCTAACCTGTGTGTGTTTTAGGATGGGGAGAACATGTAAACTCCACTCAGAAAGGCCCCAGCAAACTGGTGGATTCAAATACATCCATCACATGTATGGGGATCACGAGTAAACCTAACAAGCATGTCTTTACCCTGTGGTAGGGAGCAGCGTACCCAGAGGGAACCCACACAGAGAAAATGAGAACATGCAAACTCTGATTGATGCAAAATATTTTTATTAATGGTAAATGGCCTGTATTTATATAGCGCTTTACTAGTCCCTAAGGACCCCAAAGCGCTTTACATATCCAGTCATCCACCCATTCACGCACACATTCACGGCAAGCTACATTGTAGCCACAGCCACCCTGGGGCGCACTGACAGAGGCGAGGCTGCCGGACACTGGCGCCACCGAGCCCTCTGACCACCACCAGTAGGCAACGGGTGAAGTGTCTTGCCCAAGGACACAACGACCGAGACTGTCCAAGCCGGGGCTCGAACCGGCAACCTTCCGATTACAAGGCGAACTCCCAACTCTTGAGCCACGATCACCCCATCAATTAATAACAAACAGCCATTCCATTTATAGTTGCTGCATTTTTATGACATAGACATGAGTTTTAATTATTCAGTGACTTCTTTCACATGCAAACAAATTGCAGATGCTGGTGTCCCCACACTGCAAAGTAAAGGAGTTACGATTATGTTATTCATAGAAGAAGAATTATAGCCTTAGCATGTTTCCATCCACCAAGATTAGTTTAACGATTTATTGGTCGAAAACTGACAAAAAAGTCTTATAACATAAAAAGTATTATTGCTACAAGTGTGGTGTGTATTGTCAATATACAGAAAGTACCATATAAAGATTTAAATTGTCATGTCATTTGACATCTGACCTCTACTTCAAGGTCAAAATGATGATACGATACAGAGTTATTTAAAGCTACGTTCCTTACTGCCATTGTTTATAGTGATAATTTCCAGGCTTATAGGAACGATATATGAGGATTCTAAATGTCACATTACTCTGGAGCTCTGACCTTTTCTTCAAGGTTAAATACGGTCAAACTTTCACAAAATAAACACCCTATAATCTTCATATAAGTTATTCAAGTCCAGTTATTTACAAGTCAGTACCTCTTTTCCATCACCTACTCCTACATAACATTTAGCTAAAATATCAAACAACATTCAAGTAAAAGTAAATACTGCCCAGTGTCTGAGCTGCCTTGGTGGAGATTTGCTTTCTCAGTGCGCTTCTTGGAAATCTGGATTTAAAAAAACAAGAAACAAACTCCAAACAATGCCATTAGATTGGCACTCATAATCAAAGTACAGAGGAGTGGACACGTTTGAGAGGAAAACTGATTACTATTAACTGATTAGTGGGCACGTGTCAACCTTTTTTTTCCTCTTTACAGCCTGAAAAGGATCAAAACTCACACTGAGGCAGATAACACCCAATGTATGCCAAAGGTCAGTTCCTGATAACTCAGAAAACAGATACTGCATGCTGGTTATCTGCGATATGTTGATAGGAAAATAAGTGTATGTGTGTGTGGTTCTAATCTAATTAACACATGTACCATTGCTCTCACTAACTCATCTGAAGGCTAACATCATATCTGAATACACACCTAATTTTAGCATTTGTAATAGCTAAAATGTAATCATAAATAATTACTGAGTAGCACAACTGAGAACACATAATGTACTGGTGATTGCTGGCTAGTGAACAACAATGGCAGCAGCTAAGCCACATTGGAGTGTATGTGTACTTTATATGAAAGTTAAATCAAGTTACATCCAACAAGTGTTACAGGATCCAAAACTTTTATTTTTAAAATCCATATCTCATAGTTAAACTTTATTTTTCAGATATTATCCAAAATCAAACTTTAAATTGAATTTTAAATGGTATGTTGTTACCTCCATTTGTTGACGTAATGGATTATCAACTACATGTTGAACTGACTGAGCTAAAACACTGAAAGGATCTCATCTACCATGAACTCAAATTTTCTTTAAGGTCATTTAAAAGATGAATACTTAACTGTTTAATTCCAGCAAAGCCTGAAACTTGCCATGCTGTGTTGTCATACTCACCAGCTACCTTATTAGGCAGCCCTTTTCAGCTTCTCATTAGGCACGTTGACATTGGTCAAGATGACCTGCCGAAGTTCAAACTGAGCATCAGAATGGGGAACCAAAAGTTAAATTTCTGGCTCGACTTCACCTACTTCAAAGCTGTGTGAAAAAGATCAATATTCTAACGAGGCTGAAGCTACAGCAACACTTTAATACTTTATGATGCATTTTTTAAGCTTCAACATCATCAGAATGGGGACAAAAAAGTGATTTAAGTGATTCTGAACGTGGCATGGTTGATGGTGTCAGACAGGCTGATCTCAGTATTTCAGAAACTGTTGATATACTGAAATTTCTCCACACAACCATCTCTAGGGGTTTACAGAGAATGGTCTGAAACAGAGAAAATGAGCGGCAGTTCTCTGCGTGAAGATGCCTTGTTGGAGGAGAACGACCCAACTGCTTTTAGCTGATAGGAAGGTAACAGTAGCTCAAATAACCCCTTGTTGCAACCAAGGTCTGCAGAAGAACATCTCTGAACACATAACCTTTTAAATCTTGAAGCAGCTACTGCAGCAGAAGACCACACCAGGTGCCACTCCTGTCAGCAAACATCAGAAAACTGAGGCTACAATTCACAGATTCACCAAAATTGAACAACAGATGAGTTAAAAAGCAGTTTTGATTTCTACTGAAAGATTTGGATCAGAATTTCTTGACACACGTTTGGCCTTTTAGTATCAGCTAAATATATTTTAAACCCCACAGCCTACCTGAGTGTTGTTGCTGACCATGTCCATCTCTTTATGACCACATTGTTCCCATCTTCTGATGGCTCTTCCAGCAAGATAACACACATTTTCACAAATGACAATGAGTTCATTGTACTCAAACGGCCTTCATAGTCAACAGAGCTCAATCCGAAAGAGTACCTTTGGAAGGTGGAGGGACAGGAACTTTACATCATGTATACAGCTGACAAATCTGCATCAACTGTGTGATGCTATCATGTTAATATGGACTAAAACCTCTGAGCACCTTACTGATTCTGTGCCACAAAGAATTAAAGGAGCTGAAGGTCCAACCTGGTACGACAAAGTGTGACTAATGAAGTAAGTGGGGAGTCATTTTCTTGACACAAGCCACAGCAGTGCTTTTCCTATTTTTTCTTTCCCACCCATCACAGGCTCACTTCTCTGCTAACATTTTGACCTCAGTGAGGTCATAATCCCGGGGTTGTCGACCCCAGCATATGTTTTAATAATATTATTATTATTGCTTGAGTGTACCACGCCTTTAGTTTCAGTATATGAAAACCGTACGCAAATTAAACCTAAAAATATGTGATACCCACAGCTGGAGACCAGTTGGAGGGTTACAGTGAAAAAAAGGTCCAACATATATTTTGTTTTAAACACAAGATGGAGGTAGTGAGTTGTCATTCACCCAGTCACACTGGAGTACAATTCCTCTACCATTAATTTTAGTCTGAGGTAAGTGCGGTATCAGTGTAACATATTATCCAGACAAAGTATACACAGAAATAGACAAAATAATACAAAGAACAACATTTATTCAGATGTATCTACATCTTATCACAATCCAGTCATTTACAAGAATCAGGAGTACACGTGAAAGAAAAGTGTGGTTATAATCGGGAGTATGTAGAAATCGCAAATATGGCACTAAGTGGTAGGTAAACAGATATCTGACACCATTTTGGCATTCTAACATTTTCTCAGTATAAGATTATACATGTGGTAGAAACCAGAAACACATTGATTAATATCATTTTGTCATCAGCTGCAGAGAAAAAGTTCACAGGTTCACATGTCCTTTACATTAAATGGCTTTTTTCACTCTGTTAAGAGAAAACTTTGTGTTATTGTTTAATATCACTGAATTTTTAATAAATGCTGATGACAGAGCTTGCGCGCTCTACTTTCAAGTACTGTGCATTTGTAAATTAAATAATTTACTTCTATGTTCAATTAAGTGCCAACAAGCAGTAAAAAAAAAGTAAAAATCTAACAAATAAGAGT